ATGCATCAGAATAAAATTTTGATTGTAAACAACTAAATAACAATATTCGAAATAAAAATGAATCCGAATATATGAATATAATTTACCTGCATTTTGTATCTAATTCAATATAGATATATTCATCATTTTCTTGTTTTGTTACTATTGTTGTCATGGATCCTTGTATTTTTTGTTCTAGAGTAAAATTTATATATGTTAGAATAGTTATTGGTTTTCAATAGTGTTTGTTACTTGGTTTATGTTTTAAAAATTTTGATTTTGATTTCTGTGGAAATATTGACTGTTTCGGCCTGATCATACAAGTTGGTGACATGTCTCGTGCGTACAACTTTTGTGTAAGTATGCGTCTGTGTCTGTCGGCGAAGAAAAAAAAAAGTGAATGCAATGTGTGTTCGTGCTCGTTCACTTCTATTTTTTTTCTTTCTTTCTGCCCTCCTCTCTTTCCTTTTGTAAGCGTGAATGAACAACCAATGAATGTTGATTTCCGTCTATTCTTTTTGTCCAATAAAAAAAGCAATTATTTGGTCAATGTTCGTCTATCAACCCCTGTTTACTCTTCGTTGGACTAATATATATATATATACATACACATATATGTTGTATGTGCCCGCTCGCGGCCCGTCTCACATATGTATTTGCACGTAGCAGGATAGAGCGAACACACAAGCAGTGGAAAAAAGAAGAAGAAAAAAAAAACCTCGTGTTTGCATATTTGATTACAGTGAAAGAGAACAGAAAAGAAAAAAGTCGAGTCCGACAAGAACGAATGATCTTTATATTTCTTTCTCGTTTAGCCTACGGCCTAGGAAGAAGGAAAAAAAAAAGTTGATGAACAAATTGAGTACGTAACAGCTGTTGCTTCTCATTCGTCACTTCGAATAGCGTTTCTTATCATATTCTTGTTCATCAACTTTCTAAAGAAACAAAGAATAAAAGAAAAGAAAAGAAAAAAAAATTCATTCGTTAAAAAAAAAAGAAAGTCTCTCTTCATGATGATCATTTGCGTGTATAGATTATTAGACTAAACGAAGAAACATGAACCGAATAAAAGAGAAAAAAATGCTTTGTATTTTTAGTTGATTTGACAATGAAGATGAAGTTAATTAAATGAATCAATAAGAGAAAGGCGGGTTCAATTAGTTCAATATATCATTGATGTATATTGAATAGAGATTTTCCTTGTGTGCATGGAATGACCTTTGATGATAGATTTTATAAACTAAAAACAACAATAATAATAATCTGTTAGTCATTATTATGCCATTAGTTTTCAAGAAAATGTTGAAAGATGGAAAAAATTTTGTTAGATGAACTTTTGCTATTGATATGACTTAATGCTATGATTGAAAACTTGTCTATTTCAATGACAAATGACCTATATGAAATGATGCTTTTTCAACTATATTCTCGAATGACCACTTTTGCCTTCGTCTCTTCTCTCTCTCGTACGCGCCATTTGACCGTCAAGAGCCATCAAAAACGAATCGCACAAGTGTAGAGACGAGTGAATAGCAATCATCTTATTTCGGAGGGTGTGAATTTATATCAGCACCTCCTCCTCCGCCGTCTTCTTCTTCTACTACTTCTTTTTTTTACTATCAATCATGTCGATTTTCTATATGACCAATAAGAATTAATCAATATAAAAAGGAAATTGTCACTCGACGAAGAAAAGATGATATTCATATAAAAAAGTATGTGATCAAAGAAGCGGTCAATTAATTGAACTTAAATAATAAAATGCTCCAATCATGCAGAGTTTTCTTTTTTTGCTGATAGATAATCTTTTTAGCAGCTGACGTTTATTTCGTATTTATTTTCATGCTGACAAAAGATATTCTCATCAATCAGAGATTATTTAGTTCATGACAAGTTTATTCTTCGAGCACGTTTCAAGGATTAATACAAGAGTCTAATTGGATCCTTTTCTTATTTTATTGCCTCAAGGGATTTTTTAATTGATTGACATTACTCATTCTTTTCTCGTTCTACGATTGGATGATTTTGTCAAATGAACCAATCATTAATGATGATGATGATGATGATGGAACTGAGAAAAAAAAAAAAGAAAGGACGTTAAGCTTCTTAGCAGTTAACTACTGTTAAGTTTTTATTGAAAAATAAAAACTTAAGATAGAAAACAAAAAAATTTGAAAAAAATTTGTTTCATATTTAATTGAATTCGATGTTGATTGCTGATCATAAAGCATTTCTAAATAAACTCCATTTGTCCAACCAAAACCATCTTGTGTTTCATATTCTCCACCACCAGCTGGTTTATTTATATTAACAACATCATATTTTTCCATCATTTTACCTGTATCTTTAAACACTCGTTCATTTAAATTCATCCATCGTTGACGAATTGTTTGAGCAAGTGTTTCATAACCAGAAGTTTTAAGTAAAGCTCGATATGTTATAAATTGTAATGGAGCCCATCCATTTGGACTATCCCATTGTTGTGTACTTTGATTTGATATTGTTGTAACAACACCACCATCACGTAAAAATAATTTTTCAACTTGACGAGCAACATTTTCAGCTTGATCTTTTGTTGAAACGTCAAGCCATAAAGGAAAAAGTGCAGCTAAGGTTAAACGATTAGTTGGCTTCTTTTGTATATAATTATAATCAGTAAAAAATTGAAGATCATTTGACCACATATATTTTTGTATAGCTTGTCGACGACGTTCAGCTTCATTTTGTTTATTTAATATTAATTCTAAATGATATAATAAACAATTAAGATCAACAGGAAGAATATGTGTTGTTATTATTGTTGATAAATCTTTTTCATCTTCCATCCATCGGGAACTAAAATCCCAACCGGATTCAGCAGCTGCTCGAAGATGAACATAAATATCTGTATTATTTTTTTTATTTGATATTTCTCTATCTTCACGATATGCTTCTGGTCTTGGTCGAGTATGTAAATCATCGTAATAGCGATTTAAAATTGTTCCATCATCAAGTGTAATGCTTCTTTTATTCATCCAAAATTGATATTCTTTTTCTAATTCATTTTTATATTTATCTGTTTTATTAACTAATTCAGTCATTAATGAGAAAAATGGTGGTTGAGATCGTCCTTCATAATAATATCGATTACCATTTGGAATATGTCCAATTGTTTGAATTAAATAAGCAAAATTATCTAACATATTATCTATTAGTTGCCATTCTTTTGATCTTATTAAACCTAACATAGTAAAATATGTATCCCAATAATAAAATTCTCTAAAACGTCCACCAGGTACAACAAATGCATGTGGAACATCAATAAATGATGAAAAATTTTCATGATTTGTTGTTCGTGTTAATAATGGCCATAAACGACGACAATGTTCTTCAATCGTCCATTTTTCATGTACAACAGTTGTTGTATTTGGTATAATAAAATTATCAAAGACAAATGAAGTTAAATTAAATGTTGGTTTATTATATTCTTGTTTATATAAGTAAAGAGTTTCATTTGGATCAAGTTTACGTGGAAGAACATCACAAAATGTTTTTGAATCAGGAAATATACGTTGAATTTGTACTGCTTCAAATAATTCACCATAAAGTTGATCTGGTGATTGACCAATTGTTAATAAAATAGTTAGAAGAAAAATAATTAAATGAAGAGTCTTCATTCTTTTTCTCTTGTTTTACAACTGCAAAGATTGTCAAGGACACATACGACTACGATATGCAGTAGTTTATATGATATTGTCTTTTGAAGATTAAGTATAGTTGCTTTTGCTTTATGATATCTCTTGTTTTTTCTTATCACAAGTAAATAGGCAGAATACAAAGATCAAACTATCACTCAGTGCTGTACGACGTATTAACACGTTTTCAAAATATTTATCGTTAACAAAGATAAAAGGAATTATGATTTGAATAGTGCAAGATTTTACAAAAACGTACATTCAGAAAAATTTGACTTGAAAATAATACGAGATATCTCTCCTACGAAGAAAGTTCTCAAACTGTTCAATCGCTTTCGAGTCAAGACTGTGTGTGTTGTATAGATCCAAATAAGCTATGAGTGCATGGAAATGAGTTCATTTCTTTATCCTATTGCTACGGATGTACAAAAATTTTTCTGGTTTCTTTTTAATAAATGCTGTATTGCAAGGTTTCAAGTCGAAATTTGAAAATCGCTTTTTCTGTTAATATGGCATTGATTTAAAAATATACGGCAATGGTGCAGTATTACTGTATCAATAAGTTATGGGCACAAACTCTTCTTCAGGATATTGATGGCTCATTAGGGTCTACATAATGCACACAGTCTCGATTCAAAATCGATTGAACAGTTTTGAGAGACTTATCTCGTTAGATTGAAAGTGAAGATAATGAATTTTATTTATGACGAAAATAAAATCATACAATCAAACACTTTATTAATATTAGTTTGGAATCATAAGTATAGAAATAGAGAAGTATAAAGGATAACATTTTCAATCACACGAATTAAGTTTTCAAGTGTAATAAAGTCAAAGAAAGTGATCAATTTGTTGCCGTTATACAAGCAGACAAGAATTTTTAAAAATATATTTAAACCTCTTAATCATGATTTTCGTTTAACCGTCCATTGAAAAAATATCAAAACCAGCTACCGTCATCATAAATTATGCGTAAATACTTTTTGAAAGGTAACTTTTATATGTGAAAAATGCACAACCAAGTTTTCTCGTAATATTTTTGACATATACCACACATAAAAAAGTCGTTTTTATTTGCAAAACATGTCAACTGTTGCGAAAGAAAAATGTCGTACACTTTCCAGATGCAAAAGTTATCTTTTAAAGCATCTTCGAGCATTGTTGATGATGAAAGGAGCTGATTTTATTATTTTCTCAATGGACGTAATAAAAGATCAAACGGAAATCGTGAATAGGGTATTTAAACACGGTTTCAGAAGTTCTTATCTATTGGTGTAGTTGACAATAATAAGGTCTTTCTAATGTCTATGATACCTCTTATTCTTATCACGTTATTTGTGCAGTCGAAAAGTAATGTTTTAATATCAATACTCTAATATTCAAGTTATAGTGACATTGTTTGAAATCAGCAGTTTAAATTCATCAACAAAAATATATGCTATATAAGTTACAATATTTATTTATGTAGTATTGCTATATTTTTGTTTTCTTAAAGATAAGAAAAAGTTGATAAGGTAGAAGTGATTTTTCTTTTCAAGCGACTAGAAAAGAAGAGCATAACAATGATATCGACCTTTCGCATTTTGAATTCGTATTAGGTTGATATTCATCTTATGTTAATCTCTTATGAAATTTCATACAAAATTTGAATAATTTTCTTCATAGGATTTATTTCGTATTCGATCGGACTAGAAATCCAAGATGTCAGTCTAACCAATGAAGATAGACGAAATTTACAGACTCGATTGTCTATTACGTACAATAGTTAGTAATACTGTCAGCTAATAATTAACATAAGCTCATAAGAAGTTTTCAAGGAATATATTATTACATCTTTTTTTTTTGTTATGCCAATAAGGGTCTGGGTGTGTGTGGAGAAAGAGTTTAAAACACCTACACCCACCCCACACCCTGAATCCTATGCAAATTCATGAAGTTTTGCAATTTCTTCTAAAAAGAAACAGTCGTTGCCACGCCGCACTGATTTTTAAAAAAGAATGTGGCAGCACCACCATGAACATTTCTACCTTCTACAATAATATCATCATAATGAAATTATCTATTAGTACAATATAATTAAGAAATAATCCAATGATTTTTTTATACACAAAATAAGAAACGATCGTCAAAAATTGATATTTTTTTTTGTATTTTAGAAATGTCATTAGCCTAATCGCAATCGTTATCATTTTTTCAGTTTATTGAATCAATCAATACAAGAATACATTTATAACGAAGGAAAATAATGAGAGTGATCTTCTGAATTATCCAATAGTTGAATAATAATTAATTGATTCACCTTAGCACAATTGCATCGCGTTGCTTCTCTTGTAAAGTTCTCTGTCACAATTTTCAAGTAACGATGACATACTCTCAATTCGGTTAGACAAGGTACATATGCCTTTGTTTCATTTAGAAATTGTTCAAGATAATCTTTATGACTATAGGCCACATCAAGTGACGTAAGATACGAATATTCAACCATTGAATATGATTGACTATGGTCAGTTGATAATGTAAGAAGATCAGCTAATAACTGTGATTCGATATTGAAAATACGGAAATACTTCAGTAATGGAAACGATCGAGCGATTCGAACGAAGAATTCATATCTGAATGCATCATTATCTTGCACAACTAAATATGTAACATAACTGAATACAATATTTGAAAATATATTGCCAAGATCTACAAGATAATCAAATGCAAAAGGTAGGGAAAAGATTGAACATGCAACTGTGTATGTACTAATATAACTGACGATACTAGTCGCATCTTGCTGTCCGATATTTATTAATGTTTGTTGGATATCTTCACGAGATAAATCACGAATGTCAATATAAGTACTAATATAGAAAGCGAATGAATGAAGTTGTGACAGATAAACAAGAATATCATTTTGAACACAAGTACCATCGATAATTCTATTTCGACCTTCTATACGAAGATATAAAGTTAAATTTTCCAGATAAGACATACGACGAAGAAGATAGTATTTGATCAAATTGTTGAAATCGAAATTTCGTTTCCGAAGTAACGCTAACGTACATGGAAAATTGTTTTTCCGCATCGTTAGAAATACTGATATCTGGATATATCTGTCTTTTTATTTTGTAATAAGTCATTTTGGATTTCTGAGTTCATAGCAACAGAATATTGGCACTGGTTCTACATTCTTAGTAATGAAATTCTCAATTGACACTCTAAATTCTGTGTATTAAAAAGCACAAATAACAAATTGATCAGTTCAATTTTGAAACTTTAGAATATAAAAAGCAGGACTTATTGAGGAAATAATTGAAAAATTGTAGAGAAAATTCCTATTATCTATTCATTATCAGAAATATTGGTACTATACAAAAGAATTCATTCTATTCAATGTTTAGAATCATTCATAAATCATCATATTTAATCAATGATAAAAGAACGATGTCTCGTTTTCACTCCATCACTTATCTGCCAAATCATCTTATTATGATTATTTCTACCATTAAATTTCAATCTTTTGATCAAATCCAAATTCTTAGTAAGTATAAATTCCATGTCAATCACTCTAATATATGCATCAGTATTTATCAGATACTTTTCGTTGTTAATATAACATTATCCTTTAAAATAAAGTAAAAGTGCGCTGAAGTAATAATTATCTCTATCTCATAAATAGCATCATCTGTGAACATTTACTATGTTGTGAACAATTGTTGAAGAGTTGTCGATGGAATAAACAGTAACATTAAATGTAGTCAATCGCTTGAGTTGACCATCAAGTAAATAAAGACAATCATCAAAAGTTTCCACATGAATACATAAATTATACTTTCGCTCTTATCATTATTAACAAGAATAAGGTTTGTAATTTGTTGTTGAAAAACAGATCGAAGTGATGATTCATCTAAAGAAAAAACAATGAAACTTATAATAGTCTATTCTATCTAACACTTTTTTTTAACTGATGAAGGGCGTGTTAAGTATTTACCTGTAAAATATTTCAAAACGATTTGTTGTTCGAAATTGAAGAGTTTAAGTTCAGTTAAATTTGGATAGACGGTGGCAAGAAGAATACGTTTCATGAAAACTGGTACAAAATTGAGAATATTAGTGAAGGTCTTTTCTCGTGCAAGAATGTCAAGTCGTCCATTATTTATATCCAATAATGAATAAAGAACATCAATATTATTCAATTGTCTTAAAATGATAAGTAATACTTCATTAGGCAGATCCAGAAGATGAACAATAGATCGACTCATCTTTTATTGTATCTACAACGTTATTGTCAAAGGCAAACCTATATTTTCATGTGAGTTTATTGTTTACTTCTAATCACTTTTGTCATTGTAAAATAGAATAGGTGAACTCATTCACAAAAGTGAAAAATAGATGTACAGTCCAATTCGATTATTAGCCATTCGCTGCCGTTTTTTCTTTCTGTCAATTTTGTTCGTATACTGAACGACTTCATTGTGTTCATTGGAACGAAAATTGAAGAAATGACATTAAGAAAAAGAAAGAAATATTTTTTATATGAGAGTTAATTGAATTTCACTCATATGATATCTGTTTTACAGTTTATACAAAAATTTCAGATTCTTTCGAAGACATAGTTCATTCAATTGGCTTATATCTTTTTGCTACAACATAATTCAATTACATATTATTATGATAGAAGTGTGTAAATCTTTATTTGATAGAAAAAAAACCCAAATATTTGTGCTGCGAATCTGATATTTGTTATCGGCTTGAAAATAATGTTGAACCATTCGACATGTTAATAAAAACAAGTAATTAAAGTTCTTAGTGTTCAATTAAAACGTTTGCATCAAAAAAACATCAGTGACAATAGTCTTATAATCTATTTCAAGGAGAGAGAAACACTTTGAAATGTATACATTGTGAAGAAAAGTGTAATGTCATATAAATATGTCAGTGCACATCGTCACGAGAGATCTTATCACAACTATACAATAAAACAACCAAATACGAACACTCAACAACTTTTTCTGTCCTGCGCTGCAGTCAACCTCTATCATACCAAGCGACAAGACAAACATGATAAGGTCTTTAGTTTTCGATTAAGAGATACATTTATTAACTTGTGAGCTATCGTATAATAAAGGTCGAGGATGATTAAAGTCGTTCTCGGGCTACAAGATGTTTCAGTTTTTATATTAGAACCACTTTAATGGAAACTCTCCATGATTGCATAAAGATTTATTTCGCAATATCTCTCTCGATGTTTCGAGTGACATTCATACGTCTTCAGAAAAGTGTTCAAAGGTAGAGATATCAGTATTTCTATTTCTCGGAATTTTCTTCTTTAAGAACACAACTGCAAATGAATTTTACGGTGATTTTTATGTACTTTTGAACACGCTCAGGTATTTTGATATGCTTGTACACTTTTGCGCTAGGCTACTCTCTAAAAAAAAATAGGTACTTTCGAAAACCAAGTAGGGTTTGCGAGTGCGCGAAAAGCCTCTAAGAGTTTCTGGTAGTAACAAAACTCGGAAACGCTTGAAAGTGTTTTCATGTATTCGAAAACCCTCTCCGGTTTTCATTTTTTGTTACTATCGAAAACTCTTAAAGGGTTTCCGAGTGCTCTGAAATCCATTTTTACGCTTGAAAAAGCCCTTTAAGGGTTCCAAAAATTAAGTAGAAAACCTATGCTGGTCATCTTTCGCAAATATCTATTTTTTTTACAGTGTATTATGGATTCTGGGCAGTATTTCTAATAGAAATCTTAAACAAAGAGTCAAATGATATTTTATATTCGTAATCAAAGTGTAAAATGACATTCTGTTTTTTTAAACAAAGTATCAAAAAGTTTCGGTGGTGTAGATTGTTAGAATTAGATGAAAAAAAAAGAAATATTTCTTATGAATTTATCGGAAGTATTCCACTAGGAGAAGGTTCATATCCCAACGTGGCAAAATCTGCGTTTTTGCCAAGCAAACTTTCATCGTTTTATTCAGTTTTGGCTCAGCAATTCTCAAAACATCATTGGAATCTATGAAGTCCGGTTGATTCTAAAAGTTTTCATATCGGTACACTTCTGATATGTCCTTGACAAAGTCGAATAGAAAATATACAACTTTTAGTATTTCATAGTATCCGATGAACAATTCTTTTATCTAATATTTCTAAAACAAGGTCAAAAACAATATGAAACAAAAATGATTACTAGTTTACTTTAAATACTTAAGATATATTTTGTGCATCGAGTAGTGAATTTGAGTGAAGACGCTGTATCTAAACTAAAGTAGTATCCAATAATAAAAGGAAAATGCATGAGTCAGTTTTATTGCTGTGAATTCTACTTTTCTCAATCAACGGTGATAAAAAAAGCATTCACATAAATTCCCCAAAACCTGTGTTAGATATGAGAGAGTAACAACAATTGAAGGGCAGAGAAGTGTTCTTAAAAACTTAAAGATGAACTAGAAGATGTTAGGATATTGACTACATCATTATTAATCACGAAATTTTGAAGTTGGGAGGCTGCATACCATGAAAAGCAAAATGCAAATTATTCTCAGCAAGTACCTCGTTGACTTTGTGTTTTCATGAGCAAAGTGTGAAATAGAGTGTCAATCGAACATCGCAAGCATCCTGGATACTTTGTCATTATAGTGGATTCTTGATGCTAGAAACACTGTGTCCGAGATTCAAGAAGATGAGTCTAAAAGCTAATCTGTGTTTCTAGGAACGAAATCAGGAGGTGACACGGTTAAGCAAAGCTCGAAAAATCGACTCAGAAATATTGTGAAATAAATCTTCGGAATATAATCAGATGTTTTTGTTATTTTAACTTTGGTAAGGTGAAGGAAATGCAAAATTCAAGCAGATTTCATTTTATCAATTTTTATATATGGTTCGATGCAGAATTTCATACAGAGTAAAACTATGCAATTTCAAACGTTTCAAAACAAAATTATAGTGAAAAAACTGAACAAAAACTCAAAATTTTCAAATGGTTAAAAGCTGCCCAATTTTTCAAACAAAGCAGAATTTTTCCTCTATGGTTAACTTAGATAAATCTTAAATTATTTTTTTCGAATTCTAAACAAAAAATTGAGTCTAGAAAATTAGTTTTCGATGTTCAAAAACTGTTTTTTTTGGACTAAAAACATTTTTAATGCACTGAAGACTGTGAAAATGCCTCTCATATTCGCACCTAAAGCTTCAAGTCACTAAAGATTTGAGATGAAGGCTTTATTTTCACGTAATTATCTTCGTCACATGACCATGAAAAAAGTTTACTCAGCAAAGATTTTTCACGCAATTTTCTTTAGAAAAAGACAGACAAATTTGCGTAATGTAGCGGCAACTTTAATAAAACAGATTTCTCTAGTTTTTTCAACTACGGAAACGAAAGAAACCATCAGTTTTTATAAATTGGCGACCACAGTTAGTAACTATGTTAGACTTTGATAATTTAGCCTCCATTTTTACAAAAAAATAAATTTGTTTCCGTTTTGGCTGATTTCACTCCCTTGCAGAGGAACTGAAATGTAAATCAGTTTGTTGCCAAATTCTGCTGCTCTTTATTACAATTCATTTTAAGGTGAGTTCATATTTTATTTCAGTAAGATGTACACATGCAATCATGGGGTGTGGGTGTGAGTGTTTTAAACTCTATTTCTCCACACTCACACATCACACGTACACCCCAGTAGAGACAGTAACACTGGTTATAAAGAGCACGAAGGTTTGACGGGTTTTCATACCTAAAAGCTATGATTTTTGTATCAGATTATTAGGATTTGGTGCATTCCTGGATCAAATATTGTCAAGTTCAGATCAAATCCAAGTCAGATCTTGTAAAATCCAGTCAAATATGATCAAAACCAAATCCAAATCGAATCACACCGAGTCAAATCCAGGATTTAGGTTTGGTACACCCCTAGAAAGCAATTAATGTTTACTTTCGTAGGAGAAAAAAATAACATGAAGAAGATAGACTCTAATCAATTTATCAGAATAAATCACAACAATGAAAAACATATAGCATTTTGAGTTATTTTTTAAATTGACATACGTTTTTCTTTTTACCGTACTTTGAGAAAATCACAAGCTGTTAATGTTTCAATCGTCAACAAAGGCTTAATACGAAAATACACAAAAAATCAAAGGAAGCAATATACGTTTGATTATGTCTTACAATGATACTTGTATAGAGCTATTCTTTTTCACTATGAAAATGCCTCAGGGAGGTAAGAAGAAACAACGATAATAAATTTTATTCCGTTCGTTTCTTTTTTACCTGAATAAGTATTGTGAAGGACACATATCTACTATAAAAGAGTTCGTATGAAGTTTTCTTTTGTCGATTAGGTACACTTTTCTTTATCACTATTTGTTTTGTTTTTTCTTTGTTTTTCTTTTGTTATAAGGTAAAACATAAAAAGAACAAACTAACTTGATGTAATGCATGAGTTCAGTACTTTTTTTTTGCAATACATATTATAATTAAAGATAATATTTTCATTGAGAACACTGAAATTATTATGCAGTTTTAGTGTTAAAAATTCACCAAAATAGATTATTAAACACAATAAAGAATAACAGATTTCTAAATGAAACAAAATGAATAGACCTTATTGTTGTTCTTTCTCGTTGACTATTATATTGATACAATGTTTCTTTTTGTTTTTTTGTCTTTTCTTTCAACGTTATATGGCAAACATGATCATAATAGATTTTGCATCTTTGTTTTTTTCTTTTAATTTATGAGTTTTTATAGATAGATATATGTAAATAAAAGTAACTATGTCAAACAATAATAATAATAATAATACGAATACTAACTGGCAATTTATTCGAGCAGTTGACGAAGCATTCTTTTTACTTGATCGAAATCATGATCGTTTAGTTAAAGAAGATGATTTTTGTGCAGTTGCCAAATCTGTTGGTAAGAGAAAAAAATTATTCTTAATCAAATAAAGTATTGTGATGTTTTTTTTTATTCGTCTATTCTATTAATTAGGTATAAATTTAGATTCGGATGAAGTATTAAAATTAATTCGTACGGCTATTCGTGAACAAACAGAAGATCAAGTAGATGAAACAGAATTAACAGTTGATCAATATTCAACATTAATGCTTCGTTATGTTGGTTCATCAGAATTAAATGATGAATTACGTCAAACATTTGATGCATTTGATCGAGATCATGATGGATTCATAACACGAAAAGATTTGGATAAACTTCGATCTGACACTTCATTTTTTAATCAACTTGATGATGAACAATATGAACTAGTTGTTAAAGAATTATTAATTCAAGGCAATAATAATAATGGACTTGATTTTAATCAATTTGTTAATTTAATGATGCCTAAATCGTAATGTTTTCTTTTTTCCTTTGATTTTTTAAATTTTTTTAAAATATCTATACACAAGTGACGACATCTTTGAATAATAAAAGAGGTTTTTCATCTAGAAAATGATTCGAGTATAAGAAAAAGAGACGATTTTTGTTCGTTCATTTTAATATTCGATTAAAATTGAAATAATAATGGGTGATACCTTGATTTTAAAATCAATTAATGGACAAAGACTAACAGATAAATTAATTATTTCATGGTTTGATGCTAATGAAATTTTTATTACAAAAAAAGTTTTTTCTGATGATCGGTATTCAGTTGAAATTACTTTTGTTGATGATGAAAGTATGAAATATAAAAGAAAAAAATCATGCACGACGAAAAGATAGAAAAAAAAAAAGAAAAGTTTTTAAATTCATTTTTCAGGGGCTGATATGTTATCTGATTTATTGAAGACTTGTTATAGTGATTATATATCAGTAGGACGTCCTCAAACGTTGGTACAATCATTAGATAATTCATTTGATGATGAACGTGTACCATCACCTGTTCATCTTTCTTCAGCATCATCAATTTCATCAAAAGTTTCTTGTTTTTCACAACGACTTGTTGCATTAGGTAACAAAAAAAATGATAATCAAATGAAACCTGCACTTGGTCGTGGACGAGGCATTGATGCTGGTTTATCACAAATTGAAATGCCAATAGAAAAGGAAATAAGTAGTGATGATGATAATGACTCAATAATCAATACTAGTAATATAACATCACCCATATCGTCGATAATAGATAATGGTGAGATTTATTTTGATAATTAAAATAAATAAAAAAAAATGAATTCCTTTATTTGGAAATTTTAGATGTAACATCAGAATTTGGACGTGGACGAGGTTCTCTCTTCAAATAGATTTGTTTTTTTTTTCTATGATTTTCTTTTTGTTTTTTATTGTATATAATTTTTGTCAGTTATGTTATCATATATATTTGAATATGTAAGCTGTTGATAGATTTTTCAAGATGATAAAAACAATTGTACCACGTGTATCGAAATTAGCAATTATTCCAGTAGGTCGTGAAAGTTTATTGAATGCTATTATTCATTTTGAAAAATCCAATGATCAAATTTCAAATCGATGTATTCTTTCACTTAAAGATATATGTACTCGTCGTCTTCTATTATTTGTCGGTGATGATCATGAGATATATAATCAGTATTTATCATCTCAACTTGTTCGATATATTACATATGATTATTTGACAGAAACAAATAATAATCAATATCGATTAATAAATAATGATGAATTGTTTTCTAATTCAAGATTATTAGTTTGTCGTAATTGTTCATTGAGCAATTTGGGTGCATCAAAATGTCGTCGTCGGAAATGCTTAGCAAATCGAGTACGTCAAGTTCTTAATCAATTATCATGTCAAATAATTCCATGGGAAAAACGAGAACAATTTCTTATTCTTGAAAATAACGATGATGATGATGATGATGACGATAATTCAATTGTGTTTATTTATCTTAAGTCAAATTGTTCTCGACATAAATCTTCGCAACAACGTCATGAACAAAATAATGATCGAAGTTGGATTCAAAAACAATTGTATTTAATTGATTTGCTTCGTATACTTCATATTAATATAGCTCGAGAATGAAATCAAATATTATTAGAAAAATCCGTCATCAGTATACGATGACATGTGAACATTCTTCAATAGATTTTGTTTGATTTTTGTTTTTTTTTATGAAATGTGAGCGACTTTTTTTTATTTGGCTATCCATAGTTATTCTAATAAAAGCGGTTAGCTAAATCCTTATAGGATTATCATATGAAACATAATGTAGCTGTTGTTGCTAACAGTGTTCGACTCGGGTCGGGTCGGGTCATGAAAAATTTTTTAACCTCGGGTCCGCTCGGGTCGGGTCGGGTCGGGTCGGATCAAATACGTATTTTTCAGAAACAAAAATCATGTTAGTTTTTTGTTTATAAGTTCTGTGGTCTCACAACAAACAATTAGATATAATAAAGCAGCATATATGATATCATCTTTTGTGTTATTTCATTATTTTCCATGCATTGATATCTTAAGAACATTTATAGTAAGTATATAATATATTTTTTAGCGATGTAATAGTCTTAAATTCTATACATGATATAAATGAATGCTGAAAAACAATGAAGTGTTATCAGATGATTTTGTTGCCATAACTATGCAATATCAGTGGTACATAAAAACCGAGAAAAGGTCAAGGACATGTCCTTTTTTTTTTAAATCAGCAATAAAATAAAAACAAAGGAACTGACAAATTAAATTTCTCAAAAGAAAGAAAAGAGATCGATATATATATATACAGATATGCATGATAGGCGAAAGAAAAAAAGAATTTTAAGCACAACCAATATGTACATATAGGAAAAAATTGCCTTCGAATCTGGTCATGTTTTGAAAAAAATTCTTACCCTTGGGTCGGGTCGGGTCACTAAAAAAGTGACCCATGTCGAACACTGGTTGCTAATCAGAGGATGATCGTTTTATTATATCTATTTTGAGATATATTTCTTCGTCATCGTTTTACTTAATCCTCGGCAAAAGCAATAAAAAATTTGTTCATATCTTATAACGAGACATAAGAATGTATATATATATATCGATCTCTTTTCTTTCTTTTGAGAAATTTAATTTGTCAGTTCCTTTGTTTTTATTTTATTGCTGATTTAAAAAAAAAAGGACATGTCCTTGACCTT